GCCAGCGCAGCACACGGAACGCCGTTTACCTTCCCGCTGGTAAGCGGTCCCTATTTATCTACTTGCACCCGGGGGTGCTTTCGAACTGCTAGGTTGGCAGGCGCTGGGACCGAGCAACGGGAGCGCACCCCGCTGTGGGGATTCGAACCTAGGCGCTGAGGTTTTACCCACAGCGCCACCCGCGTCCCTGACAGCCATGTAAGTTGGGTAATTTTAGACTCCATGTTGTATTCATTGTAGTGCTACGCAAATCCTTGTGTGAGTAGAGTGGCTTCTACTTGCACAAAAGGACTTCCCTCCCTCTCTTCCACTTATGTGCCCCTAAATTTGTTCTGGGGTTTCCCCCAATCCTCCAGAGCAAATTTAGGGACAGTGCAGGGGGAAGGAGAGAGGGAAAGTCTAATTGCACAAGCCAATGTTTTTCTGCTCGCACAAAGATTTAGCTGAATTTGGCTCTCTGGTTTTATTGGCAGAAGAGTGTTTAGATGCAGTGCTTCAAAATGTATTAAACCAGCACTGCAGTGTTTGGGGTTCCTCCTCATTCTACTGAATGGAGCTCTCTGCCCTATCATGAAGACACTATTCTGCAGTCCCCCATGAAGTCTCTTTCTTTGCTACTGTTGGATTTTGGTGCTGGCCCACCTCCCCCCTCTAGTCTCCATGTTTCCCAAGTCACTGCTTTTCACCTCTCCCCTCTCTCCAAAGAGAATCTAACATCACCCACATAAAGTCCATCCTGTGTTGATGAACAAGTGTGTTGTCTCCCATAAGAGAAATAATGCAAAAAGGAGAAATTTGTTCTCAAAAGTGAAGCAGCTTGCACAAAACCTATCTGGCCCCACAAGGAAGCTCCATATTAGCTGACCACTTTTGAGCATTAGCTTCTGTATTCTGCTTTCTTTAGGGTTTATGTGCTTCCCTCCTCTTTTTTCTGTTCTTTGTATCCCTTATCCACATTGGTTGAAGGGGTCAGTTTGATCTAAATACCAATAATATCCTTTCCAAACTATAACTAGGCCAGGCTAAACTGGTGAATGCATTTATAAGTTGTCATGAGAGGCACATACATCTGAAAACATGGTAATCTCTGCTGAGGAGGGTGAATTTCATGCCAAATGTTAAATATAAGCTTATGCCTAGTCCTTTATATCCAGCTAGCAAACATCTTCCCATTGATGATTTTCTTGCTCTCTGCCTAAGTAATTGGCACAGATCTCCCTAAGCTGAAGCATTTTGTCAGCTTGAGTTTTAGCAGTCTGGAGAAGGAAGAGGAAATCGCTTTAGCTGAGCAGGTTTTGTCTCCATGATAACTCCAAAGAGGAGTTAGTCTCTCTCAGCTCATTGTGTAGGTTCCTCAGCATGACAGAACTGGTAATACTGACAAAATACAGAGTTCTGTGTTGGAGAGTTTGTAGTTTAAGTCTTAAGTGTACAATAAAACTTTAACTTGTGGTCAGTAATGTAAATCAGCTAATATTTTTGTAAAGTTATAAGGGAATCATGCTTCATGCCATGCCATGTGGGTTAAAGGGAATGTAAATTAAGTGGTTAATGTGCATAACAGCCATTGTGCACATTCACCAGGTCTCATGCAGAATCTACACATAATTTTCCCATGAAGAGGGAATTGTGCACATTTCCCAGTCAATACATGTAATCTCCAGCAGATTTTGAGATACATGTTTATATCAACTGAATTTTGTACATTCTGTAGGTAGTATACACAATCACCATCAAACCTTGGGCATATCTCATCTGAATTTTGTACACGCTGGTTGAGGTACTTCACATTCTTTCTCACCCAGCCCTTTTTTACCTGCTGGGCAACCCTTCATCAGCTGGTTAGATCTCCCTTCTACTGTAATTCCCATGAAGATTGACCAAATGCTTCTATTAAGCTTCTTCCTGAGCTTCATAGCATTTCCATCAGAATCAGGAGAGTGGAGTGGGGATTTAAAATTTTCCCCTCTCTGCAATTCTCTTTGTGCTATTTAACTGACTGATGAGCAACTGAAAGGAGGTTGAGCTGCGGGCGGGGTGGGGGAGAAATGATACAGATCTGGAGACCCCTTCCTTCTTCCTGATGTTTGGCTCATCATTGTGAGGGCCATATAAGATTAGGTAGGGGGCAGGTGCAACCCAAGGAGCGCAGATAGCACACTTCTGAAAAGGAAATGGGGAGGGGGAGGCAGGTTTATTGGAGGCTATGTATAATCACTGGAGAATGTGCATATTGCCCAGACAATGTACAAAATCCAGTCGAGATATATGCATTCCCCAAGTCCTGTTGAGGATTATGTGTATCGACCAGGAATTCTTTATTATTGTTTTTATTTATTACATTTGTTAGTTGCTTTATCTTGCCCAGAACAACCCAAAGCAGCTGACAAAGAACAAAAATGTGCATAGTTCATGAAGCTTGGCGAATGTGCACAATGCCAAGCGCTGTGAGGTACAACCTATCTCTGGCTAGAAATCCTTCCTCAAGGAAGTGGAGATCATGGTCCACTTGATTTACATTTCCTTTAACCATCCATTTTTAGTGCAGATGAACAGTCAAAGCAGAAAATTAGTAAACTTTATAGTGTAATTTTAAAAAATAAACAGCAATTAAAATATTATAACAAACAACTAACAAACCTTGATGATCTAAGCAGAAAGGCAAAAACCAGAGTCAAATCCCACCACGTTTAGTAATGAAAAGCTTCTCTAAAAAGAAATGTCTTTATTGCTGTGAGCAGACTCTGGGGAATCACTCAGCCAAACCACTCCGGCCATGTGGCAAAACACTGCATTAGGAGAGCAGCAAGAGACAGCATCCAGCGATGATGGGAGCGGGACATGCTGCTTTCTTGCTAGCCCACCCAATGGGACTGACAAGCTGCAGCTGCAGTCAGTGCAACAGAAAGGGGCTGTAGAAAAGAAAACCAAGGCAGTCATCAAAGGGTTCTCAGTTGAGTGCCAAGGGGAGAAGTGGAGATGGGGTAGGGCAGCGCATGCAGGAGCAGGTTGGAAGGGAGGAACTGAGGCAAGAGGGAGAGGCATGAGAAGAAAGAGAGGAGGCAGGAGTGCTCTCAGGAAAGTCACCCACTACCTTGAAGAGAAGCTGGCAGAGTAACTGTGTTGTGCTTGTGTGAGAGAGTGCTTTATGTGTGGTATCTGTGCCTATCTGTGTGTGGTGTAGGCAGGGTGAGTGTGGTATTTGTGTGTGAGTGCGGCAGCTTTGGTCACAACCGCTGATGGCATGTGAGTGTATCAGGGTCAGCCGGCAGGCCAATAAACACCTATGAGCATCAAGCATAATTTGCATGCTTCCACCAACCTTTTTATTTCCCTGAGGTGTGACCAGCCATGTGTATTTCAGTTGACTGAACAATTTTTGCATATGTTTGAATTTTATTCTGCTTTATGTTTTTCCCCACTTAGATTTTTTTTGATTAAGCAATATGCATACTTGTTTAATAAACAAACAAATAAACAGGTTAGCCACCCCTCCTTTAAAGTATGCTGGAGAAATGAAGCCATCTCTCTCTCTCTCTCTCTCTCTCTCTCTCTCTCTCTCTCTTTGTAACAGCAATTCACAATGCCATCTTATTTTTAATTTGCCTTTGACCAGCTTCACTTTGCCAAACTGGCCACGCTATTTTAAAGATATCTTAGGCTGTTTGTAGATTTGTTTCACCCACCTCTGGTGTCATTCTTCTAATTACCATGTCATTTAAAGCAACACCCCTTTGAGAGTTTAACACTTCAGTCAGCTGTGAGAAAGTGTGTGGCTTAGCAGCTTAGTTTAGAGATTGAGTTGTGAACCGTGACATCTCTGATTCATGAACTGAACCAGTCGTCTTGGAGCTGTTCTCTCATAGCCCCTTAGTAGTGACACAGAGCTCAGCCCACCAGGCGCTACGACTGTTCAGTTTTGATTCATTCAATGGGATTTGTTTAGGGCTCCCTGAGCAAACCTCATTAAATTAATGGGAGCTGCTGAGCATTAGGACTTGGTGGGTTGCATCCAGAAAGGGGTCTTTTACACATTCATTATCGATGCACAGTTATTTAGATCCTTCTGCTGCTATGACTGATAATAATACGGACACATGGGGCCATTCCTTGCAGCACTCCATCTGTTAACAGATACATCCTCTTGGAACAGAACAGCATCCAAGTAAACAAAAAGATGTACCCAGCTCCTTCTGCCTGCTTCCAGCTGTCTTCACATCTGCATTGATGTGTCCCTCACTATCAACTGATTTGTAGAGCTCTTGATACTGATATCGTGGATATAAGTGCATGGGTAAAGGGCAGAAACTAAATTGAGAAGCACCTTCAAGTAGAGGAAGCATCTGTGCTGCACTTCTGAGAAAAGATGATTTCCCACAGCAGGGATAATAACTGTCGTTCCACGAAAATGTTCATGGTCTTTGCAGAGGTGCACATCTAAATGCACATTCAAACATGAATGGTCTTAATAGTGTGCTGCTTTTTTATGGAATATCCACTTGCATGTACACCTGAGCAGGGTTTCCATCAAAAGCAAAGCATTGCCAATGTTAGCGGTGTCACTCAGGTGTGTACTGAATACATATCAGAGTGCATTTACTGTCTGCACTGCATTGCCTTCATTGAATGCACATCCAAGTGTGCAGTTCCAATTAAATCAATGCAGTGTGGATAAGCGATTTCTGTGCTTGGATGCCCACTTCAGTGGGCATTCCATTTATTATGGCTCTTGTTCTAAACAATACAACCTCAGAGCCAATCTCACCCCATGGTCTTTTCAGCTATGAGGAGATCATCTCCCTCACCTAGGCTCAAGGGGGCTTCTGCCCTCACCCTTCAAACTAAGAAAAGGCAATTCCCTTTGCAGCTTAAAATATTATTTTTGGGTGGCAGGAGGAATCTGGGTAACCCACTTCTGCTCCTCTTTTAGTTCGCAGGCAGAAGAGAAGCAAGTGGCACACTGCTTGCTTCCCCTCAGCCTAACCTATATTCATAGTAGCATGACAACAACAGATACAGTAAGTGTGCCTCTTAGTCTGCACAGAGTCAGGCAGTTTAAAACACATTTTTCCTTCATACCTTGGGGGTCCTCCAAGAATTCAAGAAACCCCTCCTGGTCTGGCCTGACTCCATAGCAAGTTCCATATGCAGGATATCCGCAGTAGTGAGAGTAATTTGAGAATACTGTTTAAGAATAGCATTCCAGAATTTCAAGTCCCTAGAAAGACGTACTTCTGGTGAATGGCAGAACTGGTGGGGTTGAGCTTGCTTCAGGAGGAGAATGTACTGCCATGATTTCTGCATCCCCACTCCCATTTTTTGCATGCAGAATGGAGAGTCCAACTGCCCTTTAATTATCCCTTTTGATGGAATGTGAACTTCTATTTTGACAGTATTACTGCTCTCTGAATTGCCTGTCCCTTTATGAATTTTATCAGCTGCTGCATGTCCTAGCACAGGAGGAAGAGGGATTGGAAGAGACCTTTCTATGTAAATAGTTTCTAAATACTGCAAATTAATGACATGCAGTTCTTCACTGGAATGATGAAATCACTCTCTAATTTTTCATTGCCTGTTTTGTGGTTCTGAGTAGAAGAGGTTATTAGCATCTCAGATCTCCACCATTAGCACACATTCCCCTCCAGCAAATGATAATGTATTTCTTGTTCCCATAGATTCAGAGACTTCAGAGTTGGGAGAGAGAGTATTATAAACCTCCAATGTGACCTTCCATAGAATAGCACAGATTTGGAAATGTTAACACTTGGATTCCTGTACCCATTCTTAGATTACTTGTAACTGAGCTAGTGTGACCTTCTAGTGAGGTATGTCATAGTTTGTTTCATGATGAAACATTGGATGAATGCAGATGCCTATTTATCAAGGGTGGAGGTAAAAGGGAAAGGAAAAGGACCCCTGGACAGTTAAGTCCAGTCAAAGGCTACTATGGGGTTGCGGCACTCATCTCGCTTTCAGGCTGAGGGAGCTGGCATTTGTCCACAGACAGCTTTCCAGGTCATGTGGCCAGCATGACTAAACCACTTCTGGTGCAACAGAACACCGTAACGGAAACCAGAGCACCCAAAAATGCTGTTTACCTTCCTACCACAGCAGTACCTATTTATCTACTTGCACTGACGTGCTTTTGAATGCTAGGTAGGCAGGAGCTGGGACAGAGCAACAGGAGCTCACCCCATTGTGCAGATTCGAACTGCCAACCTTCTGATCGGCAAGCCCAAGAGGCTCAGTGGTTTCCTACATGTTTCAGCCCCATAGCTTTGAAGTCTACCTGCTGCTTCTTTGCAAAGCAAGTTAAAGGCAGACAACATGTCCATGATTCAATCTCTAGGTAGGGCTGAAAAAGACTCCTGTTTGAAACCTTAGAGAGCCAACCCTGTCTGGCTTATGAGTGATAAGGAAAATGTTGCTGGCTTTCTCAACTGATCAGAAGTCTAGGGAAACTGAGTTTCTTGGTCTAGGGAAACTGAGAAGTGGATTCTGTTGATCAGTTGGCAGGATGATGCAGACAACTTCCTTATCAATTGATTGTACACTGTACTAAGTTTCCAACTAGTAAGTGGTTTCTGTATTCTAGTACAGGAAACAGGCTCTACAGTCTACCCAATGTAAAAATATGGGGTGCTTGAGGAATTCTATCTTCATGGATCCCTAATCAAAATGTCATCCAATTAGATTAATGTGTTGGTTGGAACATCACTGTCAGTAGGATTTTGTGGTTCTCCAAATATTGTGATACAGTTCTCTGTCATTGAAACATATCAAGGCATGCATTTCAATACTGTTTTGAGGAAGAATATACATTTACATCTTAATTATGAAGAGTATTTTTAAAATAATTTTGACGATCAATGTGGAGACAACAAAATTGAATTATGTGCAAACAAGTGTGAGAGTGGAATAGAAATAGATCCATTTCACCAGTGGCATAGTGTGTTGGGGGGGGGGGGGTTACAGGAGTGGTTGCTCCAGGCACAAAACGGTTAGGGGGTGCACATTTTCAACGCCCAGTGCTGCCTCAATACAGCTGGTCTCTGTTGAAAACTGCTTCCCCATGCAAACCAGGAAGTGACCTCTCTAGACAGCAGAACAACTCTTCTTTCCTTATCTCTGTGACTGCAATCTCCTCGGTGATGTGGATGCTGCTAGGCACTTGAATGTGTGTGCCCTCACTCCCACCCACCCCTCTGCATGGCCCCAGGTGCTGGCAACCCTTGCTATGCCACTGCATTTCACCCCAGTAAAAATGCCCTAGTCTAAAGGAGAAAAGGAAAAAGAGTTATTGATATCATTGACATCAATGTGGTTCAAACTCAGAAAAGAATTTATTTTTAAAGTAAATATTTTTTAAATACCTGTAGAGTCGGACACGACTAAACAACAACAACAATTTTTAAAATAAGGAGTTACTTCTGCCATGGGGGGGAAATCAGGTCATGCCATCCCTTAGTTCCCAGGAATCCTTTTTGTGTGCATGCACACTTCTTCAGATACCTTCAGATATTCTTCAGATATTCTCTGCAAGCTCTTTTGAGCCAAGGTAAACAGGACACCCAAAGACAGAGAATGTGGTGAACTTGCAGTGGCTCCTGTGGGGGCTGCTCTCCCATCATGGTTCTTTAACCCTTCAGTGGAATCCAAGCACAGAGTTAGCCCAGTGTGCCTCCCAATACCAACATCATAAGTGCCCCAAAACATTTTGCAATGAACTTTGCCTTTAACATGATAGAACTCACCAGGAACCCCAGCCCCCAGACAAGTCACAGTCTTGTTAAAATGAAATTCTGGCAAGCCTACTGATGACATTGAAAAACCTCTTTCCTGTGGCCTGGGACTGTGTACTGTATTAATCACACCTTTTCCCTTTTATTCTGTAGGAGGAGGATATTGAATACTATGACTCCAAGGCTGAGACAGAATATGTAAGTGTCTTCCACTTGTCCTTCACTTATATTTTATGCACTGAATGAGTTTCACATGTTATTTCCTTCAAGTTAGAATTCCACTGTCTACTTTGCCACCTTTGTTTAGAGCTCAGAGTAATTTGACTGTCTCCAAAGCACAGGATCTACACTTATGGCAGTGAAAAAAATGGGGTTTTGTTATAGAATTGCAAGTTCTAATATTTCCTCATTGGGTGGTAATAGAAAGAAGCAATAATGGCTAAATTCAGGAGAATTCAGAACTCCTTTTACTTATGACAAATATTTTCCAGCAAGGAGGCACTTAGAGAATAGAAAGCGGGATAAAGTTGTTTTTATTGATCTTGGGAACTGAATTGGGGGAGGGACTCACAGCAGGCATACATTTTTGTGTTTGCTTCATTTCATAAAAGATTTGGCAGCGTTCTTTGACTATTTTAAACTCCTTTTTTCTCTTTAAATTGTGTTCATCTTAGACACATTCCCATGAAGCCTTGTGAAAAATACAATAACACATGTAAGGGAACATGTTTCAGTCAAATATAGGCATGGGATACCACAGTAAAATCTGCAGGGACACTGTATGATGGGCAATGTAATTCTGCTCTGGGTATTGAAGCAAAATGAAGATTTCAGATCATTCCACCTCTTTTCATAGAATCATAAAACTGTATAGTTTGACTCCAAGGGTCATCTGGCCCAACTCCCTGCAATGCAGGAATCTCAACTAAAGCATCTGTGACAGGTGGTCATCCAACCTCTGCTTAAAAACCTCCAAGGAAGGGGAGTCCACCACCTCTCAAGGGAGTCTGTTCCACTGCTGAACAGATCTTACTGTCAGAAAGTTATTCCTGATGTTTCGTTGGAATCTCCTTTCTTGTGACTTGAAGCCGTTGTTTTGAGTCCTACCCTCCAGATCAGGAGGAAACAATGTGACAGCCCTTTAGATATATGAAGATGGCTATCACATCTCCTCTCAGTCTCCTCTTATCCAGGCTAAACATACCCAGATCCTTCAACCATTCAGCATAAGGCTTGGTTTCCAGACTCTTAATCATCTTGTTTGCCTTCCTCTGAACACATTCCAGCTTGTCAATATCCTTCTTAAATTGTGGTGCCCAGAACTGGACACAGTATTCCAGGTGTGGTCTGACCAAAGCAGAATAAAGCAGTACTATTACTTCCCTTGACCTGGACACTATACTTCTGTTGATGCAGCCTAGAATAACATTAGCTTTTTTTGCTGCTGCATTACACTGTTAACTCATGTCAAGCTTATAGTATACTAAGACCTATAGATCATTTTCACATGTACGACTGGCAAGCCACATGTCCCCCATCTTATATCTGTGTGGCTTATATTTGTGTGTAACATGTTGTTTTATTGCAAACATATAATGACAATGGGACCTTGCAGCAAACATTGAAATCACACTGTAGCTCTTAAATTAAGAAACAATCCTTTATCCAAATAGATGAGACTTCTGATGAAAATGTGTGCTTTTCCTTTCAAATCCCTATTTCAGAGTGAATTGTGGAACTTGAGAAAACCCACCCCCTTGCCAACTGAATGCTGGGTTGTTGTTTTTTCTCTTTGAATGCTGCTTGAAACTCTAAACTGTAGAGTCTACGAGATTACATTTGATCTCATGAAATGATGACTATATTGCCAATCAAACAAAATGAAGCATATGACTGATGCATATTCCCTCTCTTGACTGATTATTCTGAAAGGAATATCTTTCTTTCCAGAAGAGATCTCTCTGTTTGTCAGACCCTTTCATACAGCATGGGGCAGGTCATATGTTGGCTCAGAAAAGCAAGGCCAAAGAGATCTACTGCAATCACATTTGAAAGCATACCTGTCCACCATTGTGATCTTCTGTAAGTTTAACTGGGAGTAAGTTCCCTGAAGTCAGTGGTGCTTCCGTCTAAGTAGATATACATAGGAAGATTTCCTTTACTACCTGAATGATACTTCCAGAAATCTGACAGGCAGTAGGTCTGCCCCTTGGACCTAGAGAAGGAGTGACAGTGGTTGGCTCCACTCTGTGCTTATTTTGTGACAGCCCATCAGACAAAGCCTGAAGGAGCCAGGTGCACTTTTGCTAGAGAAAGTCACTATGCTTCCTGGGAAAGTTTCTAAAATTAAAGCTGGCATCTGAAATTCAAATGAAGAGCAAACATCTAATTAGAGACAGAATCTAATTCTCTACCCTCCTCCTGGCACAGCCATCCTGTAATTCTGGCAATCAGCATGTTAAGTACAAACCAAAGAGCTTCAGTTCCCCAAGGAAATAGGCCTTTGCTAGTGACTGTGTGCAATGTGAATAGAGCTCTGTTCAAAACAACTCCCAGGCATTGGCCACTGGGCTTAACTCATCCCAGAAATGGCTGCATTTTATAGAGCTTTCTGGAGCGCTTTGGAGTCTTCCTGGGTGGCCTAAATGCTGAAGCAAGGTGTGCCCTTGGGCCCTCTCCTGTGGCCAAGAAACGGAAGAACAGATATTAAGCTGTCTCAGCTTGCTGAGAGGACACAGTCTTTGGCGCCTACTTTTGACAAAGCTGTTCTCCTTAAACTTCATAGCATTATAAATCAAAGACTGAGGGGTCCTGTGTAGTTGATGTTACATAGCCTTTAAAAAGTAGTAACACAGGACCACCACTGTACTAGATAAGTCAGTACCTGTTGGAATGGAGTAGATACCAGCTCTTGGTAGTAAGTGCCTGAATAGCCATTTTTAATACCCTTTTCAAACCTAATTCTATGAACAATGGCCAGCTAAAACCCAAATGGGCAGCAAACAGAATATGAGAAAGAACAATCTGTGTTCTACATCAAAGTAACCCAAAATCTGAGACTATGGTTTTTGGCACTTGAGATATATATTTTTAGGACCCACCTTATTTCTGTAATTTTCAGTTGTTTAAAACTGTATTTAATATTTCATTGTAATTGTTGTAACCTGCCCTGGAACCTTAGTGTGAAGGGCAGGTAATTAATTTATAATAATAAGCCAAAATATGGAGAAAGACCACAGGCCTACCAAGAGCATTTCCCAATCACATTCAGATATGTGTATAATCATTCATACTTCTGAGAACAAGGTGGTAAATCTTTAACTCTGGCATGCCTGTTCCTTTGCTCTTGGGAATTTATGGTGCTGTAAAGAGCAGAAATGTAAGATTTCCTACAGACACAGTGTACAGGTGATTAGTTTAATAACAGATGGCTTTTTAAGGTCAACCAGGAGCACGGACATCATTTAGCTCAACTTCCTTAGGATGTCCCTATTTTCACTGGAGAAATGTTGGAGGGTATGGAGTTATCTGACCCACCCACCCCAAGCCATATGAAGGCAGCCCTGTAGAGGGTAGTTTTTTCATTGGAGAAATGTTGGAGGGTATGATGCGCCAACACACTTCATAACTCCTCAGCAGTTAACTAACCTCGCTGATAGTAATAACAGTGATCGGCTCACTGCTATCTGCTTTTGAGGCTGCCACAACATCCATCCTTACAGCAAGCAGAAGGCCTCACATCCACGTTAGATAGTGCTGAGAATGCTAGATCAGTACAATGCTGGTAGGGTTATATTACATGAGGAAGCAGCAACATTAACATTATTTTTATTCAGGAAGCTTTGTGTTGAAGGTATAGAATACAAGCTTAGACTGCATTGGAAGAAACCTTTGGGCACATAACAAGATCACATAGATTAGAAGCCCCCAACTAGGGCTGGGTAATATTTCATTGTAATTGTTGTAACCTGCCCTGGGACCTTATATATCATCCAAATCCAGTTTGAAGTCCATATCGTTATATCAGTTTCATAAATTTTAACCCAACAATATATTGCAAATCATGTGTGTGTTATGTAAAAATCACAATGTGGGAAAAACTGTGAAGCCAGCCAATGCTTCTCTCGATTCCTAAAGCCCCTATTAACTCTGCTGGCTCAGCTCTCCCCTGCCTCCTGTGGGGGGCAGCAAATAACATGAGCAGGCGCAGGCAAAAACCACAGCGTAGAAAAAACTGTGAAGCCAGCCAATGCCTCTACATAGCTCCATCCTTATTGCAAACATTGAGATATATCAATATATTGCAATGTTTAGCTGGTGATGTATTGTCATGTTGAAAACCAGGAATCACCCAGCCCTAGCCCCAGCCTCATGAACCTAACTACTCTACACCAGCAGACAATGCAGAATTAAGACAGGAGGCTTAAGAAAATGAGACTGACTTGGTACTTTCATCAGGGAACCATCACTGGCAGACCTATGGTGTCTATCAACTTCCACGGTCAGGTTTGGTTTTTTTCCTGCATAGCTCTCATGAATACTAGAGCATGAAATCTCTCAATGTTTAAAAATTAATCAACCTTCAGACAACCTGTGAACTCTGAAACTGTAAGAAGGTGGAAAGGGGATAGGAAATCAGTTTCCAGGACTATTAATATCTCAGAGCAGTATATTTTATGCTTGTTGATGGTGGTGTCTGATATTATTACAGATTCAGATAAGTTTTTGTTGGTTTTTGTAAAAGGATGGTCCTTCGCCTATTGAAAACACATGTAGCGTTCTCTGCCTATGCCTATTGCTTCACACTCAGCAATATTCCAGCTAATTTTCTTCCAACAAATAAAGAAAAGATGATGGTGAAAGTGATGATGGTGATGATGAAATTAAAAAGATACCGAATTGTCTGCAGTAGAACTAAATAGAAAGAAACCACAGATCCTCCATTTTTGTTAACATTAATTTTAAAATTTAAATTGAGCATGATCTCCCTCAAATGAAGTTAGTTCAGACAGACAAAGCCTATTCAGTAAAACTGTGACTTTATTCAAGAAGCTTATGCCAGATATAAATGCAGAAAGAAATAGAAACGAGGTTCCTATTCACTGCACCTTTAGTTCGTCCCAATGTAATTCTGATTGTGGACCTCTAAAAAATAATAATTTAATTTTAAAAGGTAATGGGGATGCCAGATTGTGTGT